GCAGTCAAGAATATGCCTCACTTGAAAGAGCAGCTCAGTTGGAGCTGCCAGTTACATGTAATGAATGGTCTGGGTATTCATCTAATCAGAGAAAGGTTTTGTTTTGTTTTGTTTTGTTTTAAAGTGGCAAACATCTTGGGAGTAGGTTGTGAACAACATATCCTCCTCAACAATTTACTCAGAAAGAATCCTTGGGGAAGAGGAAAAAAACTGTAAAAAAATTTGATATATGTTTCGGTTCATTGGAATTTTGGTAAAAAAAATGGTCTGGTGGCTTTGTTTGAGCTTCATTACATTATATATAACTTCAGAACTGCTGATACAGGGATCTGGAAAGGAGCAGATATAAAATTGCTCTCTATTTTTACAGTTAAGAGAAACAGCTATATGTCTGTTATTTATTATGCTTTCTTAACAATGGTTTATTGTAAATAGCCAGAATCTTTCATATTGCTCTTAGTTCTACTGGCAAAAATACTAGTAATAGCATTGGCACATATTCAATTGTTTCCATAAATCCTTACAAGGAAGCTTTCTAGAGTTTTTGCTTTTCTTCCTCATATGGATATGGGGGGAGGGGTTTGTTGCTTTTATATATTACCTACACACACACACACACACACATATATATTCATAGATTTTCATGGGTACAGGTATGCAGGTCTTGGCGTGTTCGGGTCTTTTCCTGAGTAAGATTGAGAGCATCTTGGCAACATTTCGATGAGGTCCCACCTGCCATCTTCAGGCTGGTGCTTTCGGCTTCGTGCTTGTGCGAGCAAAGCGTGATCGGAGCTGCCGTCTCCCAATATATACTGGTGGGGAGGTTTGCTATGTTGTCATTTCTTGATTGGTTGATGGAGTTGATGTTTGCAGATTGGGTGGCTTTTTCGTAACAACATGTGTAGCTGAGGTATTGGCTGTGTGTCTATCAGCCTCCTGTGTTGTAACGACCTGCGTAATGGGCTGTGTGATGACCTTCTGAGTTCTATTGTTTTGACATAGTTGGTCTTGTGCTGTAATCTCCTGGGTCGTAATGACCTGGGTCATGGGCTGTGTGATGACCTTCTGAGTTCTATTCCCAGGATGCCACAACAATAGAACTCAGAAGGTCATCACACAGCCCATGACCCAGGTCATTACGACCCAGGAGATTATATATATATTTATTTATACACACACACACACACACACACACATACATATATATGTCAGAGCTCCAACAAATCATCCCTCATTTCAATCAAAAGTCTCTAGCCACATCTCAGAGAAAAGAAAATTGATTTATTAGAGGTTGGCGTGTGGCTGGGTGTAGCGGATACTAAATTACATCATACATTTCTCCCTTGACCCTGATCTTCCCCCCACCCCCTGGATGTGACTTCTCCAATGGGACACATCCATCTCCAAGAGTTATCCATCATGCTCTCCAATAACCTTCTTATGCTCCGACAACTTTGGGCTACCGTGGTGATTATCAAGCATTTCAAAAATGCTTTGCTTTCCCCCACTCCCTTTTTCTGGCAGCTAAAAAGACCAAAGGAGCATCTTTTTAGATGACATTTAGCTCCCCTCATTTCCTGAAGGTGACCTGTACAACACAAAAAGAAAACAAATTTCATACATACATACATACATACATACATACATACATACATACATAGTTTTCATCTTTGTAAGCCACCTGGATTCATTGTAAGTGGATTGGGTGGCCCTATAAATTTTCTTAAATAGAATAAAATAATAAAATAAACAAAAGAACAGCCCTCTCATAATTACATAGTGTCCCTGACACATCCTCTATACAGAGATACAGAAGAAACTAGTCCCTGCATACTATAACAATGTTGTGGTTATAATTTGGTATGTGCTAACATACCAATGGTGGGTATGGAATCCATTGGAGCTTATCCACCAGAAAAAAAAATTTTTAATCTTTTTCTCATGGGTGCCCAATAGATTTAACACAGCATTTAATCTCTAAATGTTCTTATGTGTTCAGATCTGTGTGTTAGGCAAGAAGCAACAGAACTTTGTCCTTGTTTCTACACTGGTACATAAAGAAGTCCTGTGCTGGCCCTAATTCAGTAAATAAATGTATATCACACTGTCTACATAAAGACCATTTCAAACCAATCTGTGCCAAATGACACTCTCCCTCCCCCACTGTTTTTATGAAGTTGCTTTTATGTTGAATCAGTGAACAAATAGTTCAGGCAGTTACTACTTAAAAAGGCAGTTTTCTCTCAAACTATTGTGTCTTTCCTAGAATGCTTCTCAGTTGCCTCTTTAAGTGGCAATCCAAATCATTTAGAAAAAAATGAATTTGGTAAATAGATTAACTTATTCATTTCAAATACAGGTAGTCCTCAAGTTATGAATGTAATGGAGCCTGCCCTTTCCATTCATAACCCGAGGACTCGTGGTTCAGAATCTTGTACCTTGAATGTGATCACTCCCTCCTTTTACACACAAATTTGCTAATCAAATGTGCGGCTCATTAAGTGTTCATGAGGTTGTTCAGGGTAGGGAAGCCATGGGCGTCTAGTGATGGAACAGGCCACCAGCTTAAGATCACCCACGGCCTCCCCAACCCATTCAAATACTTCATGTTCTTCTCAATTGCTTCCCCCCCACAACCTGACACACTGGGTCACTTGTGAAAATCTAGCAAGCTGTCTCTTTTCCAGCCTCTCAGCCATGTGTACTCTTCCGAACCTCCATTTCGGCCTGCAATGGGCCCAGTGAGGCCTGCGGAGGCCTAAATGGAGCTCTGTTTTGGCCAGCAAACTGCCAGGCGAGGACTGCAGAGGCCTAAATGGCCTAAATGGAGCATCCTAAATGGAGATAGTGGTGGGCCAGTCCCTCTGAACCTCCATTTTGGCCTGCCAAGTGCAGGACGAATGTTGCAGGGCCTCTGCGGTTGTTCGTAAGGGCGAACAACTGCCGTGGTGCTGCAAGATTTATAGGTTTAGGACTTGTTCATAAACACTAGGGGGAGCTGATCGTGTAACTTCGAATGTTCATTAATGGAATGATTGTAACCTGGAGATTATTCGTACCCAGTTTCCCTTCTTATCAGTGCCAATATGATTTCAACCAATTATGCATCAGTTTGTGAATTGTTGGGTTAGTTTTTAATATAAGCAGAGACTTGTAGATTTTGAAATGAATTTTTCTCCTTATGTTCATTTTGGGATACATTTTTCCCCGACATATACATTTTTAGAGGTAATCTCTCTTAATACATTTTTCTTTATAATATTTTTCATCAGCATGAATGTATGTATATATCCTAATGCATGCATTTTTGTGTACTGCATTATAAAATTTGGGCATATATAGGTTTGGAAGCATGACTGGGCTTTGGTTTGGTGTCTTAGTTGAAAATATGTATTGGTAAAAAGTCATGAAACTTCAAGCTATATTTGTTTATTCCCCATCTCTAGAAGAGTAAAAAAGATAACATATATTACTATGTAAATAAATACTTTATAGAGGCACTGTCAGCTGGTGCTCCATTCAAAATCCAAGCAAGAAATACTTAGACTCCTTTAATCAGAGAAAAGATATCTTTTACTGGAAATCAAGTGGTAGCAACAAAAGAATTCTGAATCTGAGAAAATGGGCGCGTAAATCACATATACAAAGTAATGGCAACGTTCCCACCCCCAATAGTTCAATTGGCTCATCCAATTAAAAGTTGTGTAGATCATCATGTGGGCATCTCCAGGTGGTGATGAGGCTTCTGTCCGTTGACCTTGACATAGTTTGATAAAGGGTTGCAGCTGCACATAGCATAGGATAGAAACCTAAGCAAGAATGTACCCCCCCCCAGTTTATACAGTTCTGGTTTGTAACACCTCCAGCTCACTTCCCACAACCATTCTCCCCCTCCTCCCCCCGTTACTTATGACAGCCGAAAGATGCAAAGCAAAGGGAGAAAATCTTGAAGGCTGACAGGCACCGTGAATATATTTTGTAAGGGAAAACAATGTTATGGGGGGTGGGGATATCACAATATTACAATTCTAGGAAACTTCTCTATTTATCATGTACTGTTTCCTTCATATCCTGCATAGATTATATTTTGTGTTTTTTCTTGGTTAACTTTTGAAAGTTGTGGGTTAATTTGCAGCCAGCAATCTGACACAAATGGGCTCCAAAGTCCTATGATACTGGTAGTTGTTGTTTTTTTTTTTTTCTGGCCAATTAATCCTGCAAATTAAATACAATTTATGTTAACGTATTTAACTTAAATTAAGTAAGTTCAGCTGCTCTCAAGAGATTTGGAGAGAGCAGATCAGTATTGTCGTAATGTGTTAGGGAGAGGAGCTGTCAGATATGAGATGTCCATATTTTTCCACTTTTAGTTGAAAAAAACAACCCCTGTGCCAAAATGCAACATTATGCAAGAATGCCTGACACTTGAAAAAATTGCTACCTTCAGAGCAGAGTGTACAGTGTGTCGACTCCAAAAGTTTCACTGCTTTCGCGTAAAAGACAGTTTCACAAAATATGTTTACAGTTTGCAATTGCGTTGCTATGTGTTTCATTGTCACGGTAAACATTTTCTCAGTAGGAGATTCATATTCTCCTCACTGTGAAATAATCCTTGGGGAAATTATCATAGGAAGTCAATTCCAATGTAACCTCCCTATGTGGACGTGCACATCGCAAGATTAATTCAAAACACAACCTAACAACTAAGAAACCTTATGTCACAAGTATTGCTTGCTGTCAGGACAAAAAGAAAAATTGATTGATTGATTGATATAATTTATATGGACACCCATTTTCCCAAAGGTGATTCTGGGCACTGTGTAAGTTCACTTCCTCAAAAGGAAAAGGCAAGAGCTGTACCTCTCTTCATGGAAATTATGTGGAGACATTTGAAATCAAGTGCCTTTTTGGCTGGTTATAAATCACTGCAGAATTTTATTCACCATAATACTGTTCAAACATAATTTTCTTTATTGATGTGCATTGCTTCTCTTTTACAGAGTGATGAGGTTTTGACAGTCATCAAAGCAAAAGCACAATGGCCTGCCTGGCAACCACTAAATGTGTAAGTAGGGAAGGGAGACAACCTCCCAAAAGACTTTTTGATCATTGTTCTCTGACAGATTGCTATAAACATCATGCCATCCACAAACATTTCTCTCTTTCTCAGATAAAAATGTCTTGATGAATGAATCTTCCCATACATATTTCTGTCTAACAATATTTGTGGGTAACCAAGTTATGGGAGGGTAGTCAGTTAGGTGTTAGTCAGATGTGGTATTCAGCAGGTTCTGACCAGTTCTGGAGAACCAGTAGCAGAAATTTTTAGTAGTTCGGAGAACCACCAAACACCACCTCTGACTGGCCCCACCCCCATCTATTCTCTGCCTCCTGAGTCCCAGCTGATCGGCTGGGTCTTCTTTTGTTGCCCTGCACAGGAGAACGGAGCTGGAAAACAGGTTAGTGAGATGGGGAGGGAATGGGGATTTTACAGTATCCTTTCCCTGTCATGCCCACCAAGCCATGCCCACAGAATCGGTAGTAAAAATATTTGAAACCCACCACTGGTGTTAGTGATGCAGTAATAAATCTAGATATATATTTCCCATTGTCTTTATCTTTTCTTGAGGACCAAGGATGTATCTAATAGTTAATACAGTTCCTGTTTGCTTACAAGTAAGCCAAATTTAATTTGATGGAAAATGAAAAATTAAACTAGTTTGAATCAAGACTGCCTTGGAAACTCCACCTCCAGGAGAACTTGAGATCCATAATTTAGGGTTGGTAACTTAAATGAGAGCATCAGTTAAAACATTTCAGTCATTTGTCTTACTTTGGAACTCTACGTTTTTCTCTAAGCATCACTTTCTCTGTAAGTTTTCATTTAAATAAAAATAATATGCAAACTTTCTAAAGTCTATATAGAGTACACCAAGATTTCATTTGAGGATTTCCAATAACTGTATCTCCAGCCTAGAATGTCTGCTTGGTTGAAACTTTTTGCACTGCCTTTTTATCTGCTACTTTTATCATAATGTGTATTGCTTTATACTATACTGCAGATTTTTCCTCTCCTCTCTCTAGAGTTACTTGACTGAATCTTTTGTTGAAACTTCTTTTCAAAATAGGCATTTATAACATATTTTTGTCAACACTTTCAACGTTTCAAGGCAATGTGTGATTTGTCAAGCATATAGTGTATGTTCTTTGGTCTTTCATGCTGTCTCGTGGTTTTGCTTATGCTACACAGCACTTTTTTGTAAATTGTTCTGTCCATACTGTGCCTCTGTAGAAATTGTCTTTTTCAAGGGTGTCATTCCTACATATTTGTAAAATAGTATTTGAAAACTCATATACTGTACATTTTTCACATTCACTTTCTCTGACCTTATTCACCAGGTTGTTTTATCAGTGAGTCTTTAAACACAATATATATGTACTCCTCAAAAACCATTATGTACTTCAATACAATTAATAATTAAGCATGTTCATTTGTTGCTTCTGAAATGCCCATGATGTTTGTAGAACTGTTGTTAAATTATATTTCGTCTAATTGAAGACAATAAAAGATCCAACATTCAGTTATTCAAATTTCAGACAGGGCACATCTGTATACTGTTTTTTTAAGAACTGGATTTGCTTATAAAAATTTTAGTTCCCTGCAGTTTTCATTTGCAACTAATGTCAGAACCACAGTTGTGTATCCAAAACAGGCTCAATCTGCTCGAACAAAACTTGCTTTCTGATTTTGCCCTTGGGGTATCATAGCAAAATTTGAATAAACTCTCATCAAGGCATTTGTTCACAGTAGTACACAAGTGACTATAGACACAGATGGGATTGTAAATGGGAGAAAACTGTAAATGTGCATTACTAGCAGCTGCTGATATGTCTCTAGAACAGTGATGGCAAACCTTTTTGTTGGGGTGTGTTGAAAGCATCTGCGTATGTGATATCGCGCATGCTGCTGCCACCCACAATGCAATGCGCCCTCGCACATGCATGCACAACCCTCACCCCCACCCCCTTACCTGCACTGTGTATGCGCGCACCTCCCAGCTGATTTTTGGCCCGTTTGAGGCCTTTTTTGCCTCCCCAGAGGCTCGAGAGAAGCATCTGCAGCCTCGGGAGGCCAGAAAACGGGTCTTCTGGAAATACCGGGCCTGTTTTTCGGCCTCCAAAGGCTGCAGAGGCTTCCCTCGAGCCCCCAGGAGGGTGAAAACCACCTCAAACAGACTGAAAATCAGCTGGGAGGCACACACATGCGCAGAGCAGGTAAGTTTGACTGGTGCTTGCATGCCCGCACAAACGGCTCTGCGTGTCACCTGTGTTCACCATCTTGGCTCTACAAATATCCATTCAGGACAATTGTTTCCCAGGACTTGTTGAGAATGACCCCACCGCCCCTGTAAAAAAGAAAAAGCAGAATCTCCAAAACAAGGAGTGGTAGTGCTTATTGGTTCACTCTTGTCAAGAGATTTTTTTTATAAAATATTTCTGTATTTTTTTCTTAGATATTAATTGGCTTGCTCTTGGTGTAGATGACAAAGACTTGTATGCATTCTGCTAAAGGTCTGTTTAAAGTGTATCAGGGAAGCCTATAACAGCAGGTGTTGCATGAAGGATTTGGAACGCCCTCAGAGATCTTTCAAATATCACATTTTTGATGTGACAAGAAGAGGAAGTTGACAAATTCAGAATAGAATAGTAATCTTCTCTATATAATAATGAAACTTCAGTCATTTTTCTAGCCCCATTTCTATATCGGTTGAGTGCAATTTGACACTCAAAGTTCTTCCAAGGCCTCAAAGACAGGCCTTGAAAATCTCTTGGTGCTGTTTCATGACAGGGCATGGAGTTACACATTTACCATTCCCTTTTTAGATGCAACGCCTTCTCTCTCCATGCTAGGCCCATTCAAGGCAGCCCTACTTACCAGGCATTTTACACTATAGAGTCTTCACTGTTTGCTCCCTTGTAAGGATGTGGTTTAATTGAGATCATGATGTGATGATATAATAGTCACCATGACCTGGGGCCATTAAGGAACTGCCAAGTGCAGAAGAAGTTTCAGAAACAAAAGAGAAGCAGCATGCTTCTTTTTTGCTCTGCTTTTTAGAAGCAGATGGGCGGTCTCGTGCCATTTTGTGAATCAACTTTAAAAGATTGTTTTGCTTCAAAGCCTTGTTGAAATAAAACATCCCTTTGCAATGTTGCAAGTTGTAAGCATTTATGCCAGAGGTGGTATTCTACTGGTTTGGCCCGGTTCAGCCGAACTGGTAGTATAAAATGCTACCAGTTCAGCCGAACCGGTATTTCAAATGATCAGCTGTGCGACAATCAGCTGTGTTGTGCAATTTAGATAAGCTAGAAAGCAGGAGATCAGATTTCTTGCTTTCTAGCTAATCTAAATTGTGCGGTACAGCTGATCCCCCTTCGCTTCAAAATGCTTCTTTTTTCAGCATCCAGGAGGCTTCCCTGAGGCCACTAGGCCAAAAACGGGGTGCAGGGGGGTGCTGCGAAAGAAAAAAAGAAAGAGAAGGAAAGTGGGAGGGGGGAAAGGGATGGAGGGGAGAAAGAAAGAGAAAGAAAAAAGAAAAGGAAAGAAGGAAAGAAAGGGGGGAGGGTGGGAGGGAGGGAAAAAGGAGAGGAAGGAAGGACCACAAACCTTGGCACTAGATGCAGCTTCAGAGGATGCTTTGAAACAGCACAGCAATCCAGGCTGGAAGGAACTTGGAGGTCATCAAGTCCAACCCTCTGTTCCAGAAAATGAGTTTCTGTCTTATGACCCCCCCAGTCATATAACCACATAGCCACACCCACCAAGCCACGCCCACAGAACCGGTAGTTAAAAAAAAAATGAATTTGAGTGCAATAGAATAGATCAACCTACCTGTTGAAATCTAGGTTCTACAGACTTGAAATCAGTCAGGGTAATGCATTTCAGTAGATGATGTCTCAATGTCTAAGAAAAGGATTTTTTATAAACTAGTGCTATTTTTCTATTTAAGTTCTCCATAGTTAATTAAAGTATGATTTATCAATGATTACAATATTGCGTCAGGATACAACAAAATTAACACATTATTATGCATAATGTAGCAGCCTAGTTGTGGCAAGGATAATTTGCTAATTCTATTGACTAATGATGGTGGATAAATTCCTAGACATAATCTCCTAACGTGCATCAGGAAACTGATTTGCTAAAACTATATTGCATAAAACAGAAATATAAGTATGTGTGTGTGTGCGCACGCGCGTGCACGTGTATGTGTGTTTGTGCATCTGTATGTATACATAGTAGTTATCCTGGGATTGTGATGTATGAAATATTTTCATCTCCAGTTATAAACCCCAATCATCATGAAATTAGACCATAGTTGTTATAAAAGTTTTATACCCTAATCTTTCAGTTTTAAGGATACCACTATAAGGAAAAAGGAAATATTTTCACAATGCAGTGAACTCCAAATAATAATTATTCTAATTATTATTTTTGAAATTTCAACATTTCCTGAAAATTAAAATACGACATTGATGCCTGACATGCTTGTTTTTTATTTGTTGTTTAAAAGATGAAGCATTGACTATTATTAGACTTGCCATCCAACTTATTCTTAATCCTCCCATTCCTAATACTTTTTTTCTTTAGAATGTGGTAAAGTTACAATCCTATTAGCAATTAATCTGCTAAGGAGGAGCACAATTGGTTTTACTTTCTCCATGCAAACTGTTCAGGGATGATAAAATACATCAGGCATGCCTCTCATAATTATATGCTAATAGTCAGGCATGCACACACAGACATTCTGGCATATATGTTCACATAGTGTGGCACAATTCTGCATGCCAGACTTGAACATAATAAAACATTTAGAGTTCTCAATCCATAGTTTTCCCATAGTAGATGAAACTGACTTCCCTTGAACTTTCAGGTTTGCTTTAGGCATTAATGTGCACATGTGCTCATTTTATGTACAAAACTTTTTTTGTACTTAAAATAAGCACATGTGCACATTAATAGTGTCTGGCATTCCAACCAACCATAAGTGGAAGGTGAAAATC